TTCGCGACCGCCGAGGCCCGTTTGGGCCAGTGGCGACAATCCAAAACTGAGATATGTATGAACATGAACCAATAAAGTCCATGTGTGGGGTCCACAAGAAGAAGTTCCAGGTTTTGTGCTTGAAGGAGACGCGTAATGAGGGTTTCTTGCCACATAGATGAAATGAAACCCATTTGGCATTGTTAGGCATAAGCATAAGATCCCCCTTGGTGATTCCTTTTTCTGCTTCAGTTACTAAAAATGTGCCTCGATCAATGATAGGTTTATCTGAATTGAATGTGAGGTTAAACGCCACCGACTTAAAAAGTGCCTCTTTTATGTGGTTATATATGCGAGCTTCTTCCACATGCTCATGCATGTGGCAAACTACCACTGAAATCTGGTTAAACGCTTTAGGGTGTTGGTGGTTTAGTTCGCATGGTGAGTTAAGCATGAATTCAGTTTCTACTCTTTTCTCTTTTCAATGACCACTCACCGATTCAATCAACTTATCTGTGCCTCACTTTAGTGAATGTTGTCGGCTTTGATCTCGACAATTGTGTTATATATCGCAAACAATTTTGTCATCTATAAAAATTTAATGTAAAAATATATTATTTATTACATTCAATTTAAGTTTACTTTAATTAATTTAATTAATTTAATTTTACAATATCAATATTTAATTTTTTGTCTATTTAAATAGTTATCACATATTACATGTGTCATATTATCATATTACCTGACATAACACATGACATGATAGCATGACACATGTTATGATACGTGTCATAATTGTTAATGAGAAAAAACGAAAAATAAACTAGAATTAAATTAATTCAAATAATTAACGTGAAACTAAATTGATATTAATAAATAATATAAAAGACGAAAAATATATTTTTACAAAAAATTATATGATACAGCATAATTCTTTTTAATAGAATTGGATTGAGCTCATACAATAAAAGAAAAAATAAAACGTTAGATTTCAATATCCAAATAGATTAACTCATCACTTTCTATCTGTTATATAATATTTTCAACAAAAAAAAAATGTTCAAACAGGACGAAAAGTTTTCTTTCAATTTCAATATTTAATGCAGTTATAATTAAAGTTTAATCTTAAAACTATTGATCGAACATAAATAATAAATTTCTAGGATCAACTAAAATTGAAATAATATAAATAAAATTTTAAATTTAAATTTTATTATTGTTATTGTGATTCCTATATAATTTTTTTTAAATGTGTCAATTATGTTAATTCATATATTTAGTGATTTTTATATTGCTATGAAATATAATTTATAACCATTCTAATCACTAATCAATGAGAAATTGAGATGATTATATCATAGTTTTTCAAATTAAATTTATTCTGACTTTACATGAGGGAGCATTTCAATTTTTATTTGTTAAATAATTTGTTGATATCTTGAACTACAAATGATGGTATTTATATGAGTTCTAATATAGTTTTGTTAAAATATTTAAAAATATTTTTTATTTTAAAAATTAAATTTATTGACCTAATTAATATTATTATTATAAAATAAGTTTTTAAATAAGTTAATAGATTAAGTCAAACTTTAAAGAAATTAAATTAGACCTATAAAAAATTTATAATAGATAATAGATCAAATTTAAACTTTAATTTTATAAAATAACATTTTTTTTAGTATTCTTCTTTATAATTCATTCAATTTAAATAACTGTCATTCAAAGTTATTGTAAAATTAAAAATCTATCGAACATTTTTTAGTATGGAAAAATGTAATTGTATTTGACAAAGATATGTTTATATATTAAATTTTAAACTATTATTATTACAATAATATTATCTCGTTTAATTTAAAGAAGAGGAAAAATTGTAAACATTTTTTTTATTAATACGTGTCATAATTGTTAATGAGAAAAAACGAAAAATAAACTAGAATTAAATTAATTCAAATAATTAACGTGAAACTAAATTGATATTAATAAATAATATAAAAGACGAAAAATATATTTTTACAAAAAATTATATGATACAGCATAATTCTTTTTAATAGAATTGGATTGAGCTCATACAATAAAAGAAAAAATAAAACGTTAGATTTCAATATCCAAATAGATTAACTCATCACTTTCTATCTGTTATATAATATTTTCAACAAAAAAAAAATGTTCAAACAGGACGAAAAGTTTTCTTTCAATTTCAATATTTAATGCAGTTATAATTAAAGTTTAATCTTAAAACTATTGATCGAACATAAATAATAAATTTCTAGGATCAACTAAAATTGAAATAATATAAATAAAATTTTAAATTTAAATTTTATTATTGTTATTGTGATTCCTATATAATTTTTTTTAAATGTGTCAATTATGTTAATTCATATATTTAGTGATTTTTATATTGCTATGAAATATAATTTATAACCATTCTAATCACTAATCAATGAGAAATTGAGATGATTATATCATAGTTTTTCAAATTAAATTTATTCTGACTTTACATGAGGGAGCATTTCAATTTTTATTTGTTAAATAATTTGTTGATATCTTGAACTACAAATGATGGTATTTATATGAGTTCTAATATAGTTTTGTTAAAATATTTAAAAATATTTTTTATTTTAAAAATTAAATTTATTGACCTAATTAATATTATTATTATAAAATAAGTTTTTAAATAAGTTAATAGATTAAGTCAAACTTTAAAGAAATTAAATTAGACCTATAAAAAATTTATAATAGATAATAGATCAAATTTAAACTTTAATTTTATAAGATAACATTTTTTTTAGTATTCTTCTTTATAATTCATTCAATTTAAATAACTGTCATTCAAAGTTATTGTAAAATTAAAAATCTATCGAACATTTTTTAGTATGGAAAAATGTAATTGTATTTGACAAAGATATGTTTATATATTAAATTTTAAACTATTATTATTACAATAATATTATCTCGTTTAATTTAAAGAAGAGGAAAAATTGTAAACATTTTTTTTATTAATAATATTAACTTCTAGATATTTAACCCATTTTCCTTTATGCTGCTTTTTTTTTTCCATGCAATTGGCACGTAATGATTTTTATTTTTTTTATACTAAAATAATATTTACATTACGATGAAACACATGTTAAAAAGGTAATATATAAAATTTTACTAAAATATAAAAAATATCATATATATGAATTAAAATATGAAAATTTAGGAAAATTAAATAACAA